TATCTGCACCCGGTTGTATCTGCACCCAGTTGTATCTGCACCCGGTTGTATCTGCACCCGCTTGTATCTGCACCCGGTTGTATCTGCACCCGGTTGTATCTGCACCCGGTTGTATCTGCACCCGGTTGTATCTGCACCCGGTTGTATCTGCACCTAGTTGCCACACTTGTCTTTCATACTATTTCTGTGAACTGTCTGTGCGACCAGCTCACACGGCTTGGAGGTGCACTGCAAGCATGTAGCTGGAAAGACCATTGAGTCAGCTCTCTTAGTTGTGTGGACTTCCAATGAGAAAATGAGAAAAAAAGAATAATAAAACAAAAAGTCTGAGCAAAAGAGGGCGCTGTCGTAGAAAACAGAGGGTGCTGTTTGCCATGTCAAAATGGCAGTTATTACACATACCGGTGCATACATGTACATGTAAATAGCTTGTCTCTTGCGGCTGCTTGTTTTGCTGTGGGCTTGGAATATGGAAAAAGGGTGATCTGACTTCTTACTTTTCCAACAGTCCCACGAAAACCACAAAAGCCCTTTGCCTTATATCATGGACATCTTTTTTTCCCACAAAAAGGGGACATACTCCACGGGGAATGCCACCAGCTGCACAGAATGCCCAGCGGGATACGAGTGTCCGAGGACAGACAGCGATAGTCAGGTGCCTTGCAGTGCTGGCTACTACTCTGATGGTCTGCAGGAGGTAGGGAACAAAGATTTGACGTCTTTCATGTCTTAAGGTTCATTCTTGGAACAAGAAAATTAGATGCGGTGGTAATTATTTGTACTCATTCCGTTGTAAATCACCCACTCATCTGTGGCCTGCGGCCTAAAAAAGAATACACAGATTTGTCTCCATTGATGGAGTCATGGTTTTAGGTCAGTGTGGAAATCGAGTCAACCACTTTGAGTCTGAGTCCGCATTCTACTCATTTGAGTCCAAGTACAAGTCTAAAAAACCCAAGTCTTGGTCAGAGTCCTTCAATAAGTGGCTGGGCACAAGTCTTAGGTTTCCCATACTCACAATGAAGCTGGCACGGATCGGGGAATTTGTGTAGGGTTAATGAGCCGGGTTAGCAAAGGTATAGTACTTCTTCAACCGCGGCACCTTTATTGAAAGAAACTTTTTGCGTCTGCACTCATTCACTTGTGATTTGTATCTGTATCTCATTGATCTTTCTTTTTCTTTTTGTATGCTTCCAGTCTTGTACGGCCTGTTCCCCGGGCTATGAGTGCCCCGACACCAGTGATTCGAACCAGAATGCCCAGTGCCAGGCCGGCTTTTACTCCGTGGGGGCCCAGCAGGCCTGCACGCAGTGCCCGGCCGGCTTTGCTTGCCCCTCTGTCTACAGCAGCTTCGCCATCACCTGCTACGCGGGCTCTTACGCCCTGCCCGGCTCCACGGTAAACCATCAGACTTACGAGTGTAAACGCACATAATTTTCCTCCTTTGTTCCATGGAGGACTTGTACACTCGTTTAAGAATTCCTTTTTGTTTTTTTCCATGGTTGACGTATTAACGCGTCATGCTTGGTTTGGTCAAAGTGCATTTGCAAGGTTGAGGAATTTGCTGATAAAGAAAACCCCACCCTGAGCAGCTTTTTTGGGTAAGAAAATCCAACGTTAACTTGCTGTCAAGAAGTTGGCTGGCGTCTTGTTCCTTTTTCATTGGGGTTCATTAACAACTCTTTGTTTTTTAACGCAGAGCTGTACGGAGTGTCCTGCAGGCCAGTTCTGTAATGACACCATGACCTCCCCAGAAAACTGTGCCACTGGCTACTACAGTTTGGGTGAGTCACACGCTCACAATGACACACACCCCTGAATTTCATTTGTCGTGTTTCAAAATTATCAAAGTCGTATGTGATTTCAACATGATGAGCACAGCAATCGCATCGGAAGCATCAAACTTAAAGCCTGAGAAAGAAAAAAACTTTGTCTGGGAGCCTGTTGAAACAACGGGTTTTACGATCCTAGAAACCACTCCGACATTTACCACTTCAAGTCAGTTTTTCAATCACCCGATTTACAAAATTCTCTGTCAACATGGGCTGGCCCTCGTCATCGCATTCAGATTTATTCATTATGTTTTGCAAGTTCAACTCAGCTTTATCAATCCCTACAAAACAAATGGAATTCCAAAACCTGTCTCTCCAAACCCTCCTCTCAAGATTCAATGTAGATTGAAATTCTACCTGCCCCATTCAAACTTTATAATTAATACGGATGAACAAAGAAATTGACTGGAACGGGATTTGAACCTGTGACCTCCGGAACACCCTACTGGTGCTCCACCAACGCCACCCAGTAGTATTTGGAAGGTTCTTCCCATTTGTTGATATCTCTGTTCAAGGTCACTAGTCAGTCTGGATACTTTCCAGTTTTCCCTGTATGATTTAGCTGATGATTTCCGTTCAAATTTATATTCATCTCTTGTTGACGTTGGTGTACAGGTGGCCAGGTAGCCTGCACTCCATGCCCACCAGGCTACTACTGCCCACAGACTGACAGCGGGCCCATCATTTGCCCAGCGGGGACCTACACTAACCAGTCCATGACGGAGTGTCTGGACTGCGACCCAGGCTATGCCTGTCCCGAGGGCAGCCAAAGCCGCAACCCCACCGACGGAATCTGTCCGCAAGGTGAGAGTGGGCTCACAGATCGAACCTGGACATTCTTTGGAACGGACAAAAGTAATAATTAGGCGCCTCCGTCTGCCCATTCCTGTCGGTCACGCAGGCATGGGCACTACAGCGAGTCCACATGTCCCAGTTGGAATGTCACTCCACACTGGCTAATCTAGATTCCGTGTTGCATCATGTAGCCTGTGGCAAGCACCACAAGGTGGTCTTCAACTGATGATAAAAGTGGCAACCAATTATAAAGTCTTTCCCGATTTCCTGTGAAATTTTAATTCCTGTCTTATGGACTGTAAACCTGGAAATGACGATCATCATCGTTACGTAGGCATGCGCAGCACAGCCAATGAGCCCGCATTTGGAAGATTTGGAATAAATCTCAGCTGCGCTGTGCATCACATTCCGCAGCATGTACCACACGTGCTGATACTGATGTTGATTAGAGCTTTTCAATTCCGCTCGGCTTCGCCTCGTGGTACCTCAAGAAATTATTCACACCATTACACTCATGAATATTCAGTATTTGTATATTCATCAAGCACAGTACATGTATCTCGCGGAAAGTGGAAGAAGAGATAGAGAGATACGCCTGCCAGTCTCCTGTAAAAACGTTATTTGTCTCTTGTTTCCTTGACAGGTTATTACTGCGAAGATGGCACCACACTGTCAGTGTGTCCGGCTGGTACTTACGGGAACATGTCTGGCGCGACGTCTGCTACCGAAGGCTGTGCCATGTGTCCCCCAGGTGAGTCACGCTATCAAAATCATGTGCGATCGTAGCGCCCTCCGACAAGCAGACGTATACCCAGCACAAACTATTTGCTATAAGAGACTTCTTTTTTTTGGGGGGGGGATTGCACAAACTATACGGCGTAATCCAGCCACCAGAAACAGAAGCCGTTGCTGCTATCGCACAGTGCTCTTGCACTCGTGGTACATGCGCCCTGCATACCTTTTCGACCGACGGGGTGTGGTGAATAGGCGGATCCAGTAAGCCCCGCCCACTGAGCACAGGGCCCTTGACACAAGCTCTCCTCCAGTGCCAGACTACACATTCCAGCCGCGCTTGTCATACATGTGTGCACGCATATCGGACATAAATCACAGCTGTGATTGGTCAGAACACAACGGGGCAGAGCTTACTGGATCAGTCTATTGCCAGGTGCGTGTTCACGTAAAGCTTGCATATGAAGTGCAGTGCAACTGCAGTCATGGTGTCTTCTCTGGTTAATCTGTATAAAGCATATTCAAACATTTTTTTCTCTTTGGAATGTTCTTGCAATGGAAAATAAAAAGTTTAAAGACAGGCGTACATGGATGCCATGTACGAATTAACTGGCTTCTACCACGAATGATGCACACATCTATGGGAAATGGCAGCAACCGCCAGCCAGTGGATTACCTTAGGCCTGTGTGCTTCCCTCAGCCATAGCCATAACTTGAAGACATGACTGGGGTCAGCGGCTGGCCAGCACGTTGGTACCCTGCAGGGTTCAGTCAGCTTCTTTTCTGTGTATTCCAATGTGGACAAATTGTGGTTAATTTACAGACTCAATCAGCCTACACATGAAAAGAGAGAAAGAATGACATTGAAAATTAGCTCGTCCTTTGGGGCTTTTCAATTCCTTGCAAAAGGAACCAATTCTTTGATCTAGAAATTATCGAGCAGTGCCCTCTTTTGACCAGGTTTAATGCAAATACATTTATGCTATGGCTAGGTTTGGCAAAGGATACATACAGACTGGTACTATCCATGCCATCGCACCACTGCATTTCTTATTTTTTTTTTTAAATTCAGGTTACTTCTGTCCAGCCGTTCCCGTGGTTGGTACCCCAGGCCCGGAATACCAGTGTCCTCGTGGCTACTACTGCCCGGCAGGGACCACCTACGCGACGGAGTACGGTTGTGATGGCGGCACGTACGGCATCAAGCTTATGGCCGACAAGCCGGAGGATTGTGTTGCTTGCCCTGCTGGAAGATACTGCCCTCTAGGTATGATGAACCAAAATCGACTGTCCAACCCCCCAAAAAAACGTTATATTTGTTTTACTACACCGCATACATATTTTATTTAATAACCTCTGAAAATAAAAACATCATCATGAAAGAAAAGAGAAGTTGAACTCTTCTGCGACACAGTACTTTTTGAGCGTTTCCACTGCATTTTGGACAACCTTCTCAGTGGAGGAGGCATCCTTATTGTCCACAAGATTTTCCAGTTCGGCATGGCTCAGCTGAGGAAAATGCTGATTGTCTGTTATGTATGCTGCCATCTTTTCACATGAGTTGCATACCGTTGCTAGGCTGGTTCCACCACAAGTGCACAGTACACCCGGGCCAACAGTTTCTGGATTTTCTGCTACTGCACATGCGTTTTACTCCTTGCTTGAACGATCGCATGTGCGCTTGGCAAACAGCAAAAATAGCGGCTGGCACATAACCATGAATGCACCAATGAGAGTTTGGCAGTCTGTCATGAATATGTATGAGGCATAGTAATACTGTATGTGCACGGATCCTGGATGTGTGGGTGCTTTGATGTGTGTACCAAAATTTTCTTCACATCACTGAGCTTGCTGCGACTGAATGCCCTTTTATGGAGAAGTATGACACAGCACATTTCAAACATTGGCAGATGTGTTTAGGAAATGGTGTGATATATCCGTGCTCAAAGATTTGATCGTCACATTATAGTTTCTATAATTTCGAGGTGCCATTTTGAAACTTTTGTTTTCAGTAAGCCAATTCAGTTCTCTGACTGGTTAAACACAAAATGTCTCTCCATGTGGCAGTATGCTGAAGCTCACATGCAGCCGAGTGTGCTTGTGCATGGGGCCTTGTGGGGTACCGGAACTATGGAAGGTACCCTACAAGGCCAGCTTTGATCCTTTTGGGGTACCAAAGTGGTACCCCACAAGAATTTCACAAAATAGATATTTCAAATTTACTCAAAAAGGAGGAATTTTCAAGTGCCATTCATCCGTCGTAAATTGAAGTGTTTTATATAAGGGACATACGGTCAAAATTTCAACCCAGGAAACTGAATTTGGTTGAAATGGCAGTGATTTGAAATTTTTTCCGTGTTGTGTGGGAGTTTTTTACACTGTAACAAAGGAAATACCCCACAAGTATACACGTGTAAGGGTGTGTGTGTTCCACCTGGTTAAGTGGAAATACCAAATGACCTTGCCTCATAAAATTTCTGAATCGGCTTGTTATCTTTTCCGCTGGCAGGGTGCAGTGATCCCCTCGTGTGTCTCAGGGGTCACTACTGCCCCGCGCATACCCAGAACTATGCGGACAATCCTTGTCCCGCTGGGACCTTCACCGAAGAGTCAGGAGCCTCCGCCGTGGAGTACTGCAAGACCTGCCCGGAGGGCCACTACTGCGCATCGGGGATCGACACGCCGACGCCTTGCCCCCAGGGCACCTTCAACCCAGATACCGGGCAAGACACGGTGGAGGATTGTGACACCTGCACGGCCGGGTTTGCCTGCACCCAGCTGGGGCTGACGGAGCCCGACTCTCATTGCCAGCCTGGGTGAGTCCCCGTGAAATTCGGTGTCGTATCTGTGGGCAAATTTGGGCCCTTACGACGCATCAACTGTGGAGCACTTTTCCCTGGAAGCCTGAGCACAACACGTATTGATACATTGCCCTTGCTCCAACATGCCCCAGGTTGTGGATCTTGGCATTGGGAGGAAAATATGGGAAATTTTTTGTTCTAAACGTAACTTAGCAGATATTTTTTCACCCTCGAGTGCCCCCCCCAAAAAAGGAAGGCCATAACGCCATTTATGAAGTCTTGGCACTTTCAGTTCTTTACAAAAAGTGAATGTTTATTTTTTGGGGGAAGGGATGGAGCTGTGTACTTGACAGTCAGCAGAAAGGTTTTTTTTTCCTCATTTTCGTTATACACAAATACTTTCCTCACCAATCTCATGGAAGGCTGGTTTAATGGTCTGGTTCCAGTCTCCATGACAGTCCAAGTCAGAATGACGGATCGACTGAGAACGGCCTCCCAAACTGCTTTGGTGTACATATGTGCAATCCGCGTAGAACAGCATCTGCCTGTTTTGTCAGTGCAAAGGGAAGTCAATACCGGGCAGCTAAGCGCCCTCTATTGGTCATATACAGAGTGCATGGCTTAACCCTAACACTCCCAAATCCTCCAATTTCAATACGATTCTACATACACCCTAGGGGGGTTGGGGTTAATGAATAAAAATATTATGACAAAAGACTGAATAACCCCATCCACTGAAGTGACCTTCTGTGCATTGAACTGGAAACACTGCATGGAAACAAATCCTAAACAAAGCAGGAAAAGCACCGAGAAGTCACACCGACCATTTGATTTTTTTCTTTTTGCTTGGCACTGGTGGCTTGTGCATAAAGCGTTTGTCTCTCACCACGGTGGTCCTTGGTTCCATTCCTGAGCCGGGCCTCAATGTCAGTGGAATACGAACGATTCACAAAAGTGCGCCACTAAGAGTTTGCTACACACTGGCCAAACAGAACGCGCGAAATTTGTCAACCCTTTCCAAACGCGCAATGGGTCGACAAATTCCGCGCATTGTGATTAGCCAACGCGTTGCAAACTCTTGGTGGCGCACTAGTGTGAAACGGCCGTATTGTCTGTTGACTCTCTTCTGTGTCATGACGATTTTTCTCCAGGGTCTCCTGTTTTCCTCCCTCTGCGAAACTTAACACTTGCGACCTCTGGCCGTGTTTTGTTGGCAGGCGGGGGTTGTTCAACATTTGCCTGAGGTGTCTTACTTTACCTTTGGCTTGACCATGTTGTTGTTTACTCTGTCTTTGGCGTACAGTGCAGTTGAACATAAATTAGCTATCAGTGCATAATAAATCAATACATTATTTATCATCTTTGCTGTGCCTTGATAGGTACTACTGTCCGTCAGGCTCAGATTCGCCCAATGCCAATGCCAATGCCTGTCCAGCTGGCTCCTACACCGACTACCACAACCTGACAGCTGCGTTCCAGTGCGACACTTGCCCCGAACAGTTTGCCTGCTTGATCGGTAAGACAAAATGTTGCACACTGTTTTTCAAAGCTTCCAGGTTTTGGCCAAGGGCACCTTGCGTTCAGAACTTCGCTGAATGTGGTGTGGATATTTTGCCACTCTTCCCACTTCCGGGATTTGAAAATCTTAACCAACACTTATAACCCTGGGCCCAGGGTCACAACTGGCTCTTTGTGCTCAGAATAATGCTCAGTGTGACATTAATTTTTTTACCGTTTCCCTGTCCAAGATGCCGGAGATCGGAATTGGGCATTAGACCCCCTCTCCCAATCTCACTCTTGACCTCCATGACCTCCATGACCTGAGTTTACTACAGGTCATAACCAGCCTCCATAGCCCTTTGCACAGTTCCATTACCTGCTCTGTGTATTCATAACTCCACTAGGTGTAGCATGGCCTTTTTTTAATCCAGGTGTCCGAAGTCCGAACCAGCCCCCAGAGCCCTTCGCCAGTGGCTACTTCTTGCTTGATTGTTCATAGCTGCCCATTGTAACATGAACCATTGTTCCCCTCTAAGCGTTGCAGATCCACCCCCTGAGTGGTACACTCAAGGTCACTGCTTGGACATGCTCACTACTATGCTCAGTGGCGTTGTGAAGATATCACCCATTTCTCTAACTAATTTTTTTTCACCCAGGTACTGGTGGTCAGAACCAGCCCCCGGAGCTTTGCGCCCAGGGCCACTACTGCCCAGCTGGCACCCAGAACCCCAGCCAGTACCCCTGCGCTGCGGGCTCCTGGACCAACCAGACCAACCTGGCCGCTCAGGAGGAGTGCTACGAATGCCCCCGCGGCTGGTACTGCCTGGAAGGCTCCACGGCACCCACGGACACGTGCGCCACTGGCCATTACTGCCCTGCAGGTAGGTAGCCCTTCAAATTAATGGGGAATCGATCAAATTGAAAAGACCAAACCAACTCATAACATCATAGATATAAACTAAATCCTACCAGAAACAGATCTACCAGTAACTTCCCCAAATTCAATTTGACCTGACAGAAATCTAGGTAAAACTGACCCCCCCAAACATGAACATCTGGCTTGGGCAAATTAGTTAATTTGTCAATTTTCTGTGCCCGAATTGATCTGCATTGTAGGACTTCTGTGGGGGTAAAAATCATCACAAGAACTCAAATAACTGTTGTGATGAATCTCTTTCACAGTCTGGGTTAAAGTGATGAAATCCCTAAAGATCTTGGGCAGACACATATTAACCGGGCCTGTGCTTGACACAATAAATATTCTAACACTCAACAAAATATCGGAATATTTGTTTTTCATTTTGAATATTTGTAATCACAAAATATGGAGGGCCTGATGTTATCCAAGCACAATCTGTCTCAAATTCTGCTTGGATCGAAACGCCAGGCCCTCCATATTTGTGATTTGTATTTTAGGTCACTGTGGTCAGCAAGCAGTTTTGCATCACATACCTTTGAATATTTGCAAGTGCAATACTGTGAAATTGCAAGGACAAAACTTTGGTTTTCTTTTTTATCCCAAGAGGAAAACAATAGCTTTGCTTCTTGTTTTAACAAGTGAATTCTAGATTATTGTATGATAATAATGTAAGTGTCAACAAACCACATTATTTAATTGAGCAATTGAATTTCAGGTCACATGTCCAAATAATTGATTATGTGATCTGACTCAGCCTTAAAATAGGCCGGTTGAGAAAGCCAGAAAAAGTGCTCAGTTGACGGTTTTTGGCATCTTTTGTCTTCTTGCAGGTACTCAGACAGCAACACAGTTCCCTTGCCATGCTGGCTCCTACTCCAACGACCGGGGTAACATCCGCTGGGAGCAGTGTGAGGACTGTACCGTGGGCAACTACTGCCCAGAAGGTTCATCGCTGCCAACGGCTTGCCCAGCGTAAGTTGCTCCCATTGTGTATGTCGTACCTGTCTGAGGACTGGGTCGTACTGCATATTATGTATTCAGCGCTGTTTCAGTACAGGTCATCGCAACCTGCTTTCTAAAGCAAGGTCCTCTCAGCAGGATCCGTAGAAAAAAGGGTTTTTTTATGTTGAGAGCCAAATACATGTATAGGGTCTATTTGAAGTGAGAACCATGGAATTTCAAAAAGGTGCCCTGAGCAGTGGTCAGGTGTTCTGGCCTGGCAGGGTTGGCCTGAATTTCCACAGGAAGACAGTTAGTTATCCTGTACAATTTAGACAGTGCGTCCAAATGGTACAGTTGTGGCTACGGCTAAAGTAACCAATTAGTAGTGGCTGCAGTCAGTTGCCATAGAGTTGTGTATACCGCTAGCCACAGCCAGTCAGTTTAGAAGTGGGCCGTCCATTGCACAGCAAAAGAGCCCAGTGGTTGGCCGTAGAGGGCCGAAAACGGTTGCGTTGAAAGTGACAAGCAAGTGACCGCTTCCTGTTGAGCTGAGAATCGGCCTCAGTCATTTGCCGAGGAGAAATCCCCTGGTGTTAAACTCAGGACAGTTTGGGTACTAAACCGAAAGAGTCAAGGGTGCATTCGTGCAAAGCAGGTTTTTTTGGGAGGGCTGTTTCCCATCCGTGCCTTCCAAAAGCGTACGAGCTCCAACGTGCAATGCCTCAGAAAGATAATAAACGATTTCCAAATTTTTTGGCCCCACCCAGATAACAAATTCGGCCCCCTCAAAATTGATTTAGGATCCACCCCTGAAAGGGTCATTCTAGTTATAGCCAAATGTTTCACATGTAAGTTTTATTTTAAAGAAAAATGATGGTTAAAGTTTAACCTTAAGTTATTTGTATAGATCACCTCCAAGCAATGTGACACGGTCGCAGTGCTGTTTTAGACCTGAGGGTTAACTTTGACTTGACATCATTCCTAACTTTGTCAGCCACGGAAATCATAAATCTGCCATTTGCAGTAGGATGTTTCACCTTTCCTTTTCGAGGGGAGAAATGCGTAAGTAATTGTCCGATGTGTCTTGCATGAGCCAGCCCCAGCGTACATATTCCTCATTTTGATGGAGCTGGTCACAAGCTGATTTATGTATTTGTCTATGCATACAGCGGGACCTATAGAGATCAATTGGAGGGTCAGGCAGTGACAGACTGCTCAGACTGCACTGCGGGCCACTACTGCCCTGGGGAAGGCAACACTGAACCCCTGGAGTGCGGAAGGGGTAACTACTCGGTGAGTATGTAGATATAGGTCCACGTAGTGCACGCCAAGTTTTGAGCTCACGCGACAACCTTTATACCTTGTACAAATGTCAGGAACTCTGCTTGTTCCTGTCAGGACGGGTTCTGCCTTGAAATATGGCAGGACAGGTCAGGAGTATTCCAAGGTGTCCGACGCTGTCTCGTCACAGACGCGACTGTTGGCACCCAGTGTGCATGCATCGTTCTCCATGTTATAGCAGAAGCCATTGAAACTAACACAGGAGCCTGTTTCGTTGAACTGTAGAGCTGAATATTGTACAACTTTGCAGAGTACCAGTGAATCGAAGTAGGCATCATTTAACATTTTGGCTGGTAACTGGTATTGCTACATGTAAGTACGTATCTTCTGTGTTGCAAAGTTCTTTAATTGTGAAACTGGATTTTGCTTGTGAAACTGGCCCTTGATTGTGAAACTGGCCTTTGGTTGTGAAACTGGCCTTTGATTGTGAAACTGGCCTTTGATTGTGAAAGTGGCCCTTGATTGTGAAAGTGGCCTTTGATTGTGAAAGTGGCCCTGGATTGTGAAAGTGGCCCTCGATTGTGAAAGTGGCCCTTGATTGTGAAACAGGCTCTTGACTGATTAGGGTTGTTATACATCTGTAGATCTGTGGATCAAGTCTGTTCTTATCAGCTCCCTGAAATTGGCCTGAAATTTTCTAAACCGGTCCCAGATTCCTCATTTAACTGTGGTATACTTTGTGTCTCATGGTGCAGGATACTGGCGCAGCTGCCTGCACTACTTGTGAGGCAGGCTACTACTGCGACAGCACCACCACCAGCCGCGACGTCATGTACAGCGACAAGATCTGCCCGGCTGGCATGACATGCGACTATGGCCGCACAACGGCGCCGGACCTAGAGAACGACTTCTGCAGGACGGGCCACTACTGCCTAAGCGGTGACAAGGTAATGCCCCGACGAGGGAAGTACGGAGATTTGCTGATGCACCATGCAAACTTTTTTTGGAAGGAGGTGGTGGGTCTAAAATGATTTGGTCGCAAAAGATGGTCTCTTTCTTTTGAAGTGTACCGTGTTTATTGTCCCCAAGTGATATTGAGCACCAAAGTAAATACTTGCGTAAAAGGCATTAGTGCAAGAACCCGTGAACCAACATGCATGCGTACACCATTCATTTGCACTGCGTTTCCTGGTTCAAATGTTGTATTTTGTCTGTACTTTATACACTGGCATTTTGAAGATATGAGGCCTTGTGGTTATTTGAAGGCTTGTAACTTTTGACCACTTCACCCCTACGTGCCCCTCTCTGCCAAGGGTTTATTGATACCCGTGTAGGCAACGATTGGTTGATTCGCTGTTTGTGAGTGGGATGAGAAGAATTGTATGTGGCATGATTGGTCTTTCAGATAAGTGCCTCATGTAGAGCTGTTTTATGTCAGTGCAAAATGTTCAGTTTTGCTGTTTGAGCTAGTTCACAAGTCGTACCACTGTTGACAGACATTGGCCAAGCCTTTCTCTAGGTTCGTAGGAATAGAAAGACTTGAAAAAGGTTTGCTTGCTGGAGAGTTATTAACATTCTGCAGTTTGAAGTAGCATGTTGTTTATTCTCTTTGTCCCTTTGATGAGCTGGGTAGTTCTCAGAAAAGCACCCTACCTGGACATTTTTCAGTGTTGGAGGTCTCGAGACCTGGTCTCGGTCTCGAGACCGTCTCAAGACCTTTTTTTGAGGTCTCGGTCTTGGTCTCAGCCTACAAGAGTCTCGGTCTCGGGAGGGTTGGTCTCGGTCTCGGGAGGGCTGGTCTCGGTCTTGGTCTTGGTCTCAAATGCCTTGGTCTCGGTCTCGGTCATAAAGGTCTCGACTACAACACTGACATTTATCAGCAGTGTGTTCCTTCATCACAGGGTCAATCCATCTTGTGTTTGAAATTAAGTCTTGCTACTGGACTCTCTCTCCCTCTCTCATCACGTCTTACATAGGACCCTTTCCCGCGCCCCTGCCCCAATGGAACCTACAGCGACGAGGTGGGTCTGATCCAGGAGTCGCAGTGCCAGACCTGCCCGGCTGGTAAATGGTGCTCTCCACCTGGTCTTAGCGCTCCGGTAAGTACCATTTAGCTTGAGTTTCTCCTGTGTCATTGTTTCTTTGCTGAACCACATTGTCTTGAGGATTTGTAAGCCCCACGACACTCTCCCCGACAGTTTCGAGGCGAGTGAGTTAACGTATTCCAGCAATGTACACACAGGATGGCAGCCAGTACTAAGGTTGAGACTGTTGCAAGACCAGAGACGAGTCCAGACGAAAGACTAGGCAAAAGACCAGTCACAAGACCAATCACAAGTAGCAGGGTGAACAGTGACGTAAGGAGTGCTTTTGTTGCAGTCCGTTTGTATAGCTTGTGATATGAATTCAGACTGGAGGTCTTGTGATGGTCGAGTGATGGTCTTGCCATGGTCTTGTGGGGTCTTGTGATGGTCTGAAGAAGTCTCAACTACAACACTGCTTTATAGGGCCGTGTTGTTAATGGAACGAATAATTATGCTAACCTTTAAACCTGGTCAAGAGAACAGACACTGATAATTTCCCCTGCCGGCCCCTAAAGTTTAAAACTTGATGACTTCCCAACAATTTTGTTCAACATTTTGCGTCGTTACTCCCCTCCCCCAACATTCCTCTGGCCATATTTTGGCGGGAGCCTTTTACAGGTGCATGTACATTTATTCCTAAGTAATCTTCATGACTGTGTTAAACCTGCTCATGTGGCACTTCGTTGATTTATGGACACACCGTTACAACATGGCAATTCGTGAACTCTGCCGGCAGGCTGACGATTGCCCCGGGGGTCACTACTGCCCGGAGGGGACAGCGGACCCTTACGCCAACCCCTGCCCCGTGGGTTACTACTTGAATGCCAGCGCTGGGGAGGACTCGCAGGGGTGCACGCCCTGCATCTCGGGCTACTACTGCGACGAGAGGGGCTTGGCCTGGCCCAAGGAGTGCATCCAGGTAGGAAGGGGAAGTAAGGCTGTGCTTGCTGTGGAAGCAGCTTCTAGCGGCCGTGGCCAGTGCCTGTAAACTTACTGCGTTACTGCCGGTTGTTACCAAATATTTGAGATGCTGCTTAAAGATACAAGCAATCAGTCTATACAGAATGGAGTCAAAGTGGCTACATTTGGAAGGTTTGCATGGTGAAGTGTCAACAAGTTAGGTTAGCGGTTACACCATGTATATATAAACTATCTCCTTCAGTGAGTGTTGGCTCTGAATAGAGCCGGTCACTCTATGTTTTGGGCAGTGTGCTCTGTCTGCTAGATTCTGACTGGAGGTGAAGTTTATGAAGGATCCCAGGAACTGTGGCATTGAGATTTACCAAAATTATAGAAAATGTCCCAATTTGGAATGTTTTGTTTGTGTAATCTTTTCTGTTCACTGACTCTTGTGACCAATTAGATTTACCTGTGCGTCTCTTCCAGGGCTACTTCTGCGTGTCCGGCAGCACGTTTCCTCAGCCTTGCCCGGCTGGCACCTACGGCAATACCACCGGTCTGCGCCGCAGTGAAGACTGCTCCCCGTGTCCAGGGGGCTGGTACTGCGACGGGTTTGCCAACACGGAGCCCACGGACGTCTGTGATCCTGGTTTCTACTGCAAGGAGAAGGCCTACACCTCGGTGAGATGATCCCGGAGGTTTCTTCATCCTTTGAGATTGACTCGCTGGAGAGCAGCCATTTTTGTACATGTAGTAGCCATTGTTGGCCCAAATATCTTCAGGCTGCGGCTTAGCCATTACTGCCAGTGTAGTAGCCCTCAGGCCACTATCTCGCTGGTCATACAGTACAGTTGGCCTCAGCTATAGGCTGGTTTTAGAAGCCATTAAGAATTGTTAGGCCATTATGGCCACTGTCCATAATGTCACTTCATTCTTTGAGGCATGAGGCTTGCTGGACTGCAGCCGTTCAAGTAGCCTTGGTTGGTTTCCTCAGCTTGTGGCTGTGGCCAGGCCTTTTTGGCTGTTGAAGTAGTCACAGGGCTACTGGTTGCTAGTTAAAGGGCCAATACATTGTGAGGCCTCCATTAGAACAACTTGTTTAGAATGCTTGACAGATGGACCTTGCTACTGTCCAGTCACTGGGGTAGCTCCCACAGTGGCCTAGCCTTTTCTGGCCATATCCTTGCCTATGAAAGCGACTAGCCAGGACTCATAGTGCAATTGACCCAATATCTGTAGACGTGTTTATCAACTAGTTTCATGGATCAAAGACTTGAAGTTGATTAGTAAGTGGCACCTCAAGTCCACTGGATTTCAAGCTTTGAAAAGTTGGCCACAGATCTAAGTCCGGTGGCTTTTGGCTTCTTGGATAAACTGTAGGACCAGTTGGTTATAGCAGAGTTCTGTGAAGGTTGTTACTGATACTGAAGGCTTTAGTCAAAGGCCTGTGTAGGTCTTTGTCAGGTGATGGATAAACTGTACCCCTCAAACTTTTCTGAATTTGCCACCGACATGTTGACGTTTTCATTATCCTGATTGTTTATTCATTCCGCAACTCTCAGGCTCCGGTGGATGGAGTGACCGGTGGCTTGTGCCCACCGGGCGGCTACTGTCCGGCGGGCTCGGCCTGGCCGGCCAACTGCCCCCTTGGCACCTACAGCAACTCGTCTGGTTCCAAGACCCCTGACGACTGTATCGCTTGTGACCCAGGGTGAGTCTATCATGGTTAAGTTACATTTTAGGAAATCTTTGCCCACAGATTTTAAAATACGACTTCGCTTCTGGGCCAAAAACAGTCTTTGACAAATACCACTTAATCTCATGCGTCAATTTCCTTGTTAAACATCTTCAGCGTTGTTTGTTGTCAAAGTTTTGAAAGTTGACGAAGTTCGAGCCTTCTTAAAGCAACGTCATTTGAGAAGGCTCAGAGTATTGGAAACCTGACTTTTTGTTGTAGGAAAATAGCTTTGAGCTATAGAAAGTGCAATGAAAAAAAATGGCCACTTTGTTTAGTTGGTGTCCATATTTTAGTCTTGCCTCCAATTAAGGGTTGGGAAATAGCATTTAATTTGCTTGAAAAACTTTCCCACGTACCGTTTCAACGTGTAAACGTCCTATCCTTACCATGGTGTTATTGAAAACTTGAAACACAACAAAAATTGTATACAATGTTAACAGTTGACACAAAGTTACGGTGATGAATTCATGGCATTCCTTTGATATGATGGAGCAGTAAAGTGTTCTGAAAATCAGATTACATGTGTATCATACATACATCATTTACAATATAAATGAATGCCAGATTGCGTCAATTAAAATGTCAAACCTCTAAAAGGGGCGGTTTCGTTTAAATGTTTTGGATAATATGTAAATCGAACTTTTTTCGTTAATAATCATTTAAACGTCCCACCCTTACCTTCAATCCAGCACTCTACGGGTGCATGCCTCATCTAGAATTAACCACCATTTCACCCTAAGTCTGTAATAACTCCCTCCAAACTCACTTCCATCGAAGGTACTACTGTGCCGGTGACAACAATCCGGAGCCGACGGGGCCCTGCAAGCCGGGCTACTACTGCACGGGAGGCGCTGGTACCCCGACTCAGTTTGCCGTCCCGGCTGGCCACTACAGCAACTCTGGAGCTTACAAGCCGGAGCCATGCCCGCAGGGACAGTTCCAAACCGTGAGTTGAATGATGAAGCTGTCGATTTCCGATACCGTGCTAACTGCATCATCTGAGTGTTAGGTCGCTGTTGACCTTTTCACGTGATCTGTGACCTCGGGAAAAGACTGTCAATTATTTTTTGTGATGTTGATCTTGCCAAATTCAACACGTGCATATTTTAAGGCGGGCATTTTTTATAAGTTGGTGCTTTGATTTTTTTTAAGACAAATGTTAGAGGAGGATGGAAAAAAAAAAGATTTTTTGTGGTCTCAAGGAAAACAACTCAGGGTTTTGAAATCGGAAGGAAGAATATCCCCCAATTATTTTTCACAAATTCATATAAGAAAAACAAGAGGTATCCCCTACCACTAGTGTTAGCGGCCGAGGACCAAAGCTCACAAGATTGAAATTGGGACTTTGCCATTGGTTGGACAAAACAATTTTTTTTGGGCTCTGCTGTCCAACCAGTGGCATTTGTATTGGTTAATTGTTGGACAGCGGATCAGAGTTCTCAAAATGTAAAATTAAATTTTTTGCCAGTTCTGAATCTGGAAGGTCGCCAGATCCGAGGACCAACTTTAGAAAAGATACTCCTGCCTAATTATGAGAAAAATGGGAAGCTTTCAGTGTCATCTTGCACCCATTGGAGCACAGGATTTAAGAAACTCGATGAATGAAATCATGTTTTCATTTATATCGTCTAACACATGTTGTGCTTGAGGAATCCATGAATTTGACTTTTCCTTCTATAATGCTTCATACAGGCCAATGCGTCGTCAGCATGCGCACCTTGCGCCCAGGGTTATTACTGTCCCAACTTTGGCACCATCGTGCCGTCCACCTGCTTGGCAGGCCACTACTGTGAACAGCAGACGATCATACCAACTCCATGCCCAGTGGTCAGTATTATCAGGGACAGTTTAGATCAAAATTTAGACGGAAGGGAGAATACTTCTTGAGGGTCCAGGGGGGGGCCTGGTGAATGATAACATCTGTTTGACGTGTTCAATTCTGTTCATAGTTCGGGAAAGAAAACATCAACTTGAATAAGAAATAAAATCGTTTATAACCCTTTTTTTCAGAGATTGTTTCTTTTCAGAAAACCACATAATTTTGTTTATTAGAAGAAGATAAATATACAGATTATTTGTAACGATTTCCAGACAGAGAGGTTTTTGAGATATACCCAGCATGCTTATTGGTGTGTGATGATAAGGACGAATAATGTCTCATCATTGTAATTTATTCTTCCAGGGGACTACAAGGTTAGAGGAAGGTGGCCAGAGTGAGGAGTCGGCCTGCATCAGCTGCACACCGGGCTATTTTTGCAATGACACAGCCCTGACGTTGCCCTCGGGACCCTGCGCGGCCGGCCACTACTGCTCCGGCGGAACCGTCACTCCGTTCCCTATGGTGAGTCTTTAGGGTGGTTTTTTTCTTCCAAATCTCGGCTTTTTAGAAGACATTTCAGATTCTGTTGTATCATTTGATAGTTGTAGTTGCACAAAACGTGTTCCAATGTGACAATCACACCACGGGCCTTTCAAAAGCACTGCTCAAGGACACTTGTCGGTCTTCTGTGATCAGGGCAACGGCACAGATAACGGCGACATGTGCCCCAAGGGTTTCTACTGCATGGAGGGGACGGCCAACCCCTACCTCACCCCATGCTTCAATGGCACCTACGGCAACATCACTGGGCTGACTGCGCAGGACGACTGCCTGGACTGTCCGCCAGGGGAGGTGTGCTCCGGGCTAGGCCTGATGGCACCCAACGAGCTCTGCGCTGCCGGTGAGCCTAGTTTGTTTCCTCACATTCTTCAACTCTTTTGAGTTTGAAAAAGCATGTGATGCTCATTGCAGTAAATTATCCCCTTCGTGCCGAGAAGCGGCTATAGCCTCAGTAAAAATTGAGATCCTCAGCCCACTTTTCAGCTATTATTCTCGGCCCACGCTCGAGCAAACAGAGTGAAAGAAGGCAGACCCTAGCTCTTGTATATATGGTAATTGGTGTTTGTGCATAGCCCAGAAATGAAAAGACCGATTTGCATCATAATCACCAACTTCACAATAGTCCCCACTTTGAAAAGAGGCAACGGGAATGTGGAAGCTTGAGTAGAGCCGCATGCCAGCGAACAATGAGCCTTTTCACCGTGTAATTCAAAGGGTGCAGAACACGCTGGGCCACAGAACGAGAATTTGCGGTTTGGCAGATGGCCTTCGTGGCCAAGCGAGGCTGGAATTCTTGGAGTCGGCTTTTGGAAAGAAATTCCCGTCCTCAAGGGGTTATTACTGTCAATGTATCAGTCTTGAAATGAACATAATAAATAAGGGGTTGGGGTTGACATCAAGTCAATTGGGTGGCCCTAATAGGTTGCCTTAATGGACACTGGTCACAGTGGACATGTATTTGCAATAAGCAGTGGGCCAAAGTAAACATACTTTTACGGGGCAGAGTCCACAGTGTTCAGATTGCTGCAGTAGACGTCCAATTAAAGTGGCAGTAGTGTTAAAATTGGCCACCGTGGACAGGTAGCCATCACTAAAGGTTGGTCACAAGAGGTGGCTGGCTAAAGTGGACTTGAGACAAGTTGCCAGAGTAGATGGGTGACCACATCTGACATTATGGACAGTTGGCCACACATGACAGTGTGTCACAGTAGATGGTTAAACTTTCAATCCAGACAGGTGGCTGCACTTTGCGTGTTAGCTATTTGAATGGTTGACTTTTTATCTAGTTATTAGCAATGAAGTTGAACCCGTAAAAATCTGCCAACTTCCGAAAAAAATTTCCTTGGTCCAGGAACTGATGGTTTCTGATGTTTCATTGCTGGTGAAAAGTTTCAAAATGTAACTCTTGCTTTTGGTTGGAACTGGTTTTGTTGGATGATTCAGGCTACTATTGCAAAGGCAAGGCAAAGATCAGGCACCCGACGGACGATGTGACGGGTAACATCTGCCCTGAGGGTTTCTACTGCCCGGAAGGCTCCCCAGCGCCAATGCGCTGCGAGGGCGGTTACTACACCAACATCACCGGACAGGCCAGCTGCTTCGATTGCCCTGCCGGTAGGTTTTGCCGACTCCTGCTGCTTTTGCTGATCTCTCTCTGTGCCTGGCCTGTTGAGGGCGCTCTGTTTGAGACTCAAAAGTGGGCCCGTAAGGGCCCAAAAAATAGTTTCCAGTTGCTCATAAAGTCAATCCTGGCAGGCACTGCACTGTTCCATAAATGAATTTGATGGAACATCTGTATTAGCCCCAATGTATTCGTTTTGCATAATGAAACATATTTTTAACAGAATGTGCACAAAAGTAGTTTTGTGTTGCACGTGAGAGTCAGCCACCCCTGATTGGCCCCAGCCCTTTGTGGTACAGATTTTTGAATTAGTGTTTGGTGAGTGTTGGGACATCAAAGCCAGCCCCAAGTCATGAGCCCGTGAATGCTATTCAGAACAAATGACGCATGTGCAATGGGTGCAGTGTAGTGACATGGAAGGGATACATTTACATGTGCTTGAGATGGTGTGTCCAAAGTGTCCCATACCAGTGGGCTTGTTGCCCGACCAAACTCCCTGATTATCCAGATGGTACATGTAGCTCAGCTGTGGACATTTAGGCCCGACTGTCTAGATGGTAGCTCAGTTGTGGACATTCAGGCCCGACTGTCCAGATGGTAGCTCAGCTGTGGACATTTAGGCCTGACTGTCTAGATGGTAGCTCAGTTGTGGACATTCAGGCCCGACTGTCCAGATGGTAGCTCAGT